CTGCAAGTCCAGATTCGTCTCCAGAATTGCGTCGAATATCCCTTTCTCGGTCTCTAATGAACACAACAAGAACAATGCGTACAGATTATTCGCCATATTTTAGTTTCATTTTAGACTCCCAGCAAAGACTTGTTCGTAGAGGTGATTATTTTTTTTTCCCACCAAATCAATGAATTTGATTTTCACAAGAAGTAAGCTATTATCGGTTATGGCGCGAAAGTCTACACCAAATTGACGGAGCTGGGCGAGATCGGGAACATGGGAGGGCAAAAGGGGGAATGAGATCGAGCTCCGGGAGGCGCCCAGCCGGAACGCCACCTCTCCGGCGGTGGCATCTTCTTCTACCCCGCTCAACCAGAACGCGGAAGCGCAGTCCGGAACCACAATATTTTCTCCTCCGACGCGGAAACGTCGGAAGGTAACCGCCGTAGTTGAGGTGGAAATATTAAATTTTAAATTTTTTAATTGCCACGTCATGCATTTAACGGTCAACTATAAGAGTTGACCGCCACATCAGCAAAAGTTAACGGAGACTAACGATCAGTGACCAAACTTGAACTGTTAACCTAATTTAAGTGACTATAAATGGAATAAATTAATTTGAGTGGCAAACGTGAAATTTTGTAGCAATAGGAGTGACCAAACTTGCAATTAAGCCCTATGTTTAATTTCCTTCTTCGTTAATGGCCATTGCTCTACTCTAGACTCTAGTACTGTATCACGCGCGACTGCAATAAATTATACCCTATCCAAAAAGTTCCATACGACACGATAACAGGCAAGTAGTTGAAGGTATATTTAAGCACAGCATGAGCCCAGGGGCTTGGGATACAGTCAGTAACCGTTGGTTACTGATCTGTAAGTAACTCACCCGGAGCCGTTGATCTAGGACGAAGCGATCATGTGATTGGGATTGATGTAGGGTGATGAGGGGTATTTCTGTCCTCTTTTGAATTTTTAATTGTTTATTTTTTTTAATTTGTCCAACATTTATTAGTTTGCTTTGCATGGAGGAGAGAGAGTTAGTGTCTTATCTCTACAACTCTCTTTTCCTCTTTCTTTGTTCCTTTCTCTCTCTCATTCTCCTTATTCTCTAGATCTAATCTCTTATTCTGTTCTTCATTTTTCTATCTCTCTTCCAATCTCCTTCTTCTCTAGATCTAATCTCTTATTATGTTCTTCATTTTTTCTCTATAACAATCGATGAAGGAAAGGTGCAGCCTCCTTTTTTCAAGTCCTCAGCTTCAAAATTGGTGACGCTCCATATCAACCAAGAGGGGACAAATCTAGGTGAGTTGAGTTTGCATGTTTTAGTTTTTGTTTGTGAATTTTCAATTCCAATCTTCCTCTTTTTTTTCTTCTTTTGGTGTTCTCTTTTGCGGAGGAGGAAACGAGAGGAGGCAGAAGAAAGACATGTGAAGTACGTCTTAGTTTTATGTATATTGTTGTTACCATACTATACCATGGCGGTATTGTGTGGTAACTAGATGTATATTGTGGTTACCATACTACACCATATGGTAATGTGTGGTAACTCGATGTATACAATATGGTTACCATATTTTACCATGAAAGTAGAGTGTGGTAATCGACATCAATTCAGAGAAAGGAGATTCAGAAGACAATGAAGGGGACAAGAAACCGAAGAAAGTTGTAATTATATATATACCACACTATACCATATGGTAATGTGTGGTAACTAAATGTATTTTTATGCATACCATGTTTTACTATGGTCGTAGATGGTGGTAATTATATTTATATTTGTTGTTAAATGGTTTTACGTTCTCTTACCATGTGGTATTGTATGGTAATTATGATTGTTTTATGGTCATTCGATTTACCATGTTCTACTATGGTGGTATTGTATGATAGTTAGATTTATAATTTTTTGTAACATATTTTACCACGCTATACCATGTGGTATTGTATGGTAGTTAGATTTCTAATTTTATTTTAGCATTTATACCATATGGTATTGTATGGTAATTAGATTTGTAATTTTCTTTAACATATTTTACCATGTTATACCATAGTAGTAGAAAGTGATAGTCATATTCATACTTGTAATTACCCTTCTTGGCAGAGAATTATTAAATGAAAATTTCATCATTCAATTTGAGTTGGAGTTGGAGTAGAGAGAGCTGAGATTGTTGAATTCATATTTGTTTTAGAGATAGAGTTAGTGTGCAGAGAGCATGTACTTTTTTTTCTTTATTTTTTCAGTTGTAGATAGGAGAGAGAAGAAATAATTTAATTTTTCTTTTAATAATAGATCAAAGACTGACAGAGGGAAACATGTGGGGGACGGGGAGTGGGGTCCACGTTCGGTCAAAAGAAGGCGTCAGGTCGTCAGCATTAAATGGGTGGTGAATGTAAATTACCCTACTGCCCCTCCGTGTTTCATTTAAATAAAAGGGAACGGCTCAGATGCAGACACGTGGAGGACAGAGGAAGGGGTTATGCACGGTTACTGAGGATAGGGTTACTAACCTGATCCGGACCCGAGCCCAGGCCAGTGATCTGCTCTCCTCCATATCCAAAACCGCATTACATGCATACCACATGCAAGCTTGTACTAGTGGCCAGATACAATACAAACCTTTCTATACTTCCACAGTTTCAGTACATACTAATTTCTACGAACCCACTTCTCCCTCTTGTTCTCTCACCATCAGTAGTACTCATGATTTAGTGGTACAATCATGCGTTGCTGATCGGTATGTCAACAAAAACAAACGATAAGTATGTGCGTGAACTTTACAAATTCAATTTGTGCTAGCTCGTTTACAAGTAGAGAGGAAACTAGTTTCACTATTTCGATGAAACTATGTATAACAAACTACTAAGGATCAAAAAGTACAAATATATCAATTCTTTTATGATAAACGGAAAAGGGAAAGAAATATATCGCAAAAACTAAATAAAAAAATTTGGACGAAACTCATACACTGTGAGACTCTAAGACTGCCAATCGTAGATCAGATAACAAATTGAGTGTTAGCACATTAACCTAACTCATATACATCCTACCCAGCCGACTCATAATATGCTAATTTTATGGTTCGGCCGCCAAGGTACTACCAACCAGGGTTCTCTCACATAGCTAGCCAGCCACCACTCGGTACCGACCTACCCCTGATCCTCTTCCTAGGGATGACAATGATGCGGATTTTTAGCGGATTCCTCATCCTCTTTTCCACATAGCCGAATCCATACCCACCTCATACACATAAGAAGGGAGCTTTTGCAACCCTATCCTCTTACTTACGATTTTTCGGGTACCCATGGGTAATACCCACCATGTATATCCAATATTACAATATCTATAATTCAACATATAGGTCTTCATTTATAATACTAAACAGACCTAATAAATCATGAAATCAACAAAGAGATAATCATTCTCAATACAAATTCAAAGAATTCAATCCTAAAATATCCAATAATTAAAACAAAGTACAATACTATCCAAATCATTCATTTTTTACTCACACATATACTAAGTAATAAACAACTAACATAATCTTGTTTACATGAGGAAAAGCGAAAGAGTGAAAGGATAATTGAGGAAATGAACTTAGTGTTTGGTTTGGGTGACCACTCAATTACATTTCTACTTTTTATTTTTATTAATTATCATTCTCGCCATTGAAGTTACAATACGACCCTTATATTTTTAATATATGAAGAGATAATCTTAGTGGGACATGTATAGCTATGAGTATGCTTATGGATCGAAAATGCTAAAACCAAATATGTCTCATCCCATCAAGCATTTTGTTGGTTTTACACATACATGCCCCATACCCAATCAATATGGTAATTCCCCACATTGATTATGTTAAAGAATCAGGTACCCGCAGTTGTGTGTTTGATTGTTATCCCTACCTCTATATAGGAATGAAAACGGGGCATGTCCAGGGCAGTATGTTGATTCCCATACTTGTCCCATGACAGGTCGTGTTTAGGGTGAGTAAGTTATATATCACGGGACGCAGGTCGGGACAAATCGATCACATGGGTAAAGTAATTTTAAAAAATAATATTAGAAATTTTCATTTTAATTAAAAATCCAAGGAAACAACTTAGAATAAGATAAATAAAAATTGACACTTTCACCTATTTACAACTTGATTATAGCTAGATAATAAAAATAAAGTTCTAAGTAGTTTGAGTAAAATCACATATAATCTGTTGAAGCTTGCATGGGAAGAAGAGGCTAGGAAGGTGATTCTTCAGACAGATTCCAATACGGCTATTTCCCTGATAGAGACTGCGGCGACCAACCACCCACATTACACGACTGTGGCAGAGATTCGTCGTTGGATAAGTAGACCCTGGCAGGTTAAGATTGTGTATGTGTATCGTGAGGCTAATTATATTGCAGATTATCTAGCCTCCATTGGGCATTCCCTAACTGTAGGGGTGCATGTTTTTTATGTTCCCAGTACCATGTTGTTGTATTGGTTGTACTTTGATCGGGTTGGGGCTCAAATGCCCCAATTGGTTTAATGCATAAAGGTTGGGACGCCCTTTAAGCACTCCGTTTTCGAAAAAAAAATCACATATAATCTAAGAAAAAACAAATCGAGTATATTACCCTCCCCACCCTAAAACAGATAGAATAGATCAATTCAGGTCAAAATTGCCATCGTCCTGCCTCTACTCCTGCCGCTGCCGCTTCATTTTCCTTTTCTTCTTTTGCCTCCATCCCTCCCTGGTTTCTTTACCCTTTGGCATTTCCCTTTCTCTCTCACTGAGAAAGAGATTTCAGATTTGTGTGTGGGCAACTATCGCAATAATCCCTGTGTCAGGTCCCAAGTTATTACTGCCCTTCTCCTTTCCTCACCTCGCTGTCACCACTCTGCCAAACGCGCACACAATCACAATCACAGTCTCACTCTCACTCTCACTCTCACTCTCACTCCATCCATGGCATTACTATTTACTACAACCAACCCCCAGCCAATCCCCATATACCCCAATTCCACTTCTCCACAGATCGCTTTACCTTCTTCCTTCCTTCCTTCCTTTCTCCCCTGCCCTGCCCTTCCGCCTTCCCCAAATTTCACCCCCACCATAAAATCACCCTTCTTCTTTGTCCCCCCACTTTTACTTTTACCATTTCTCGCTAGCTACTGCTTTGCTTTCTCACTTCCCCTCACTTACTCTCAGTACTTGTTGCTTGCTCTCTTTCTGCATTCCCAACCCAACTCTCCTTCTCTCTAACTCTCTCCTTTTTGTCCTTCTTTTTCTACTTTACTATTTTTAAAATAAGTAGGAGGAGAAGAAGAATGCATGTTTCTCCAGTCGTTCGTTGTTGAAACAAGAAAGTAAATATCTTTCCTTCCAGAGAAGGAAATGGCCACCGCCCCTGCATCAGGTTGTTCTCCTCAGTCTTCCTCCGTCAAATCGTTGCCGCCTCCGTGCCCCAAGTCGCCGCCGGACTACCCTGACTTGTATGGCAAGCGCAGGGAATTGGCTAAAGTTCAGATGCTCGAGCGAGAAATCAACTTCCTTGAGGTTGAGCATTTCCCCTGTTTTTTTTTTTTTTTTTTTGGTTCTCTGTTTTGCTAAAATGTTATGCTTCAATTTGAACCAACGCTCTTTACCGTGAAGCTCTTTTCTTTTTTGCTGGTGGTGAGTAGAGAGAGAGAGAGAGAGAGACTAAAGGCTTACAACCCAACCCCAAATTATGTTAAGGCAACAGGAAAGTAGTACACTTCAATTGTAGCCATAAGGACTTTGGTAGCTGAAATTGGTCCCCTGAAAGTTGCTATTCCTCCCCTGTTTTTTAATTCATCTTTGCAAATAGCAACCCGAAGAAGCCCAACTCCACAGTCAGAGAGTGCAGAAATCCCACACTATCTTTGAGTTATGATTACAGTGAAAAGCAGTAAAACCATCTCCTTCTGCTGCCTCTTAACAGCTGCCATCCTCTTCAATCTTCATGCAGAGAAGATGAACCCCACTCTCACTCCCACAACCCCAAAAGTCTGCAGGGTTTATCTCTCTCTCTCTCCCCCTCTCTATACTACAAACTGTCGGGTTCATGGGTGGATTTCCACTTTTGCTTAGTTAATTATTGTCCTCCTTTTCCATGTAACGTGATGAAGTCTAATGAATTAACAACCCTCTAATTGGATTGGTGGGTATCTGCTTGATTTTGGGATTTTGTTTCTCCACCTTCCATTTTCACCCAATTAACTGTTTTGGCTACTGAGCAGGAAGAGCTAAAATTTGTACAAAACCTACAGCCAGCATCCAAATGCTGCAAAGAGTATGCCAAACTTTCACTCTTTCCTCCTATTCTGAAAAATCTTCACATCTTATTGACATTTTCTAACACATTTTTCACGAAATTGGGTGCAGATTGAGCGATTTTGTGGTGGGGAACCCGGACCCTCTGATACCAACGTAAGACCCACAGCAAACACCCAGTTTCCCTCTTTGTTAACCAGGATAACGATCTTCCCTACTAACTTGAACTTCTTTCTTCATAAAGCAGAAACCGAAAGAATAGAAGGTCATGTCGATTCTGGAAATGGCTATGGTACTTCTTTCTTGTCTCACCCGCTCCCCTTCTCTTTATTTTGGGGCTTGCTCTGTTTCAGGGGGCTTGCTCTGTTTTTTTTTATGTCTTCTTATTCATTGAATTCGTCCAATCTGGTTATTGCAGTGGGATCCCCTGTTTCAACTTCTCATGGATTTGTTGCTGCTGCTGCTCCGGATTCTCTTGCCGTTGTCCGAATTTGCCTCGCTGCTGCCTCTGCAATCCCTGCCCTCGTACATCCAATTGCTGCTCCAGCCGTGACAGCGGCGGCAGCTGCTGTAATAACTGCAACAGATGCCTCCCGCCGCCGCCCAACAAGTGGTGCTGCTGCAGCTGCAGCTGCTTTTCTTCCGCCGCTTCCTGTGGCTGTCGTTTACCCAGCTTCAGATGCTGTAAAAAGGACGGCAGCGGCGGTAGCGAGGAGAGCAATTCCTGCTGCTGCTGCTGCTGCTGCCCAGATTTGAGTTCTTGCTGTTGCGCTTTCAAGTTCCCTTCTTTTTCTTGCTGCTCGAAAAATGGCTGCTGCTGCGACGGCCGCAATTGCTCTGGTTGCTGCACATGGAAAAAATGGTGGTGCTGCTGTCCCAAGGTACGGCGCCCTCGTTGTTGCAAATGTACAAACAATCCTTGTAACTGCCGCTGCAGTAATCCATGCTGCTGTTCATTCTTCTGGTGATTTCCCGAGAAAGAAAAAGAAAGTAGGAATTTTATATAATTGATTAGTGGAAGGAAGCGCCCATGTAACCTTTTAATATTTCTCTATTGGGGGTTCTTTCCTGTGGATATTATGCATACTCTCAATGTACAATTAGTTAACTAATAAGATTGAGGTTATTAATGATGAATATTGTTTGTGAATGTGATTGATGACAGAGTGAGGAATTATTGTGTACTCCAGGAGTACCACGTAAGTAAGCTGATTTGGTACTCCAAACCAATAGCAATCCGCCACATGTCCTGCCTGTTTCATTTAATTTACTACTAGATAATTTTTTGGGACTTTTGATTTCCGTTTTTTATTACCTCCCATTAATATAACAATCGAAGCTTCTCTCTCCTCTGTCACCGTCTTTATTTTCCTTTGTAGAGCTGCCGGCGAGTAATTTCACTCTTCCTGCTTCATCGTCTTCTCTCGTCGTACACAATCGATTCTACTTTTTAGAATCTTCTCCTTATTTTTCCAGAACAAGACTCCTTACTCCTTAGCCTTGACGTAGCAGGCGCTAAGAACTCCCTGATTTCAATTTTCGGGGCTTCCAATTTCAATCAAACCTTCACCATAGTAGTTCCTCATATCATACGCACGCACTGACTGTTCCCTCGTCAATTGAATCGATTTAGCAGACAGGCGTTTAGGGCTCCCAAACATAGAAGACGACGGTTGCTACATCGGAAACTCGAAAGTCGGAACTATGGAGCAGGACACGCTCTAGAAAACAGAGCAATGGTTTTGATTTATTAAAATTTATATTTTATTAAAGGTAACACGGAGAAGCCACCGGAGGAAACAAAGGAAGAAAGGAGAGGAGAGAGAGACTTTAATTATTCAATTAATTGAAGATAATAGTAAGAAGATGAATTCAAAATCCCAAGGAAGTTACTCCTGCAATAAATTAATTAATGAATCCGAGATTAAATGTGGCGGACTGGAATTGGTGGGGAGTACCAACTAAGCATGTCTACGTGGTACTCCTGGAGTATTGAATAATTTCTCAGAGTGAGTAACCAATTTCAGCATGATAATTGTAATCAATTTTTTTCATTAGTGAATTATGCCACGAACCGCACAATGATGATCTTGTAATCAACATACGAATTCGTCCATCCAAGGGTCGCTCTTAGTGGAGCATTGCTTGTGCACAGGCGTAGGAGTCCTCCGTCGATGAGCAACTGTAGCGACTCGCAAAATCAGCAGTGAATGCACAAGCAGGAATACAGCGCAAATACTCTATGGTAGATGCAGCAGGTAATGCCATTAACATGGGAGAAAGGAAACGATAAGAAAAAGGGTGAAAGACATCAATGGAGGGTGCACTGCAGGCAGAGAGAGAGAGAGAGAGGAGCCATTATTGGTGGGAAATAATTGAAACAGGGGAGCAGAGGAAAAGGAAGGCAGGGTTGTGGCAGAAGCCATAGCCCACATTCTGGAGAAAGAAGGTAATGGCGCAAATGCTAATACGGCCGTGAAGCTAGCTAGATAGAGAGGCTCCTCCAGTCACTGATCCCATAACACCTCGCCTGCAGAAAACTCAGAAGCTACCATCAGGGAGCTGTCTTTTCATTCTCAGTTTTCCTCTTCTCTCCTTGCTGTTCGATCCATTTATCATTATTATTGTTTGGACAAAAGCAATGGCCCATTGGCAGCGCCTTGTTCCCAACAATTAGAGTTGTTGAGACCAACTGGTATATGACATGGTATTAGAGCTGATTTGATCAAGTGATAGTGTGTTCGAATCTCCCAGATTTCCAATATTAACAGTTGATTAAAGCACAAGGTATGGTGGGTCTGAGCAAAATTCAAGTCACTGAGTTGGCTTTCGTTTAAGGGGCGTGTTAGAGTAAGGTAAAAGATCCAGGATAACCTTCTCCCAACAACTCGAGTTATTAAGACCAACTGGTTTATGATAAGTGGTTAAGTACCATAAATGAGTCTCTCGTAACAACTCGAATTATTGGAAGCTACTAGTTTATGACATGGTATCAGAGCTGGTTTGTTCTTGAGGTCACGTGTTCAAGTGGTCATGACTCCCAATATTAACCGTTGTCTTCAAACACATGGTATGACGTGTTCAAGTGCTGATGACCTTTCCCTCTCTATATCCTACTTGTTGAATTCATCTACATAAGGAAGACACTAAACTCTGATTTGGGCCGGTTAAAGCAAGATCGAGCTGAACATGGATTATTTTTCGCGTTATGTACGATTTTGTGACAAACTATTTAAGACATTTCTTTCATTAATAGAGAGGCAATTAATCCCACAAACCAAAAACCTAAGGCTTCTATCTGAGCCTAGCAGGAGAGCAAACTCATAAACTGTGATGTACCGTTCATCAATGAGCACAAACATGGACAAATGGCATCAACGCATAGCGAACTGTTGAACCTCGAATGGGAGGTGATTATCTCATGTGCATAGGGAAAGCGAATTTTGCGGCAGACTATAATGTCAATTTAGGTCATTCTTATATTTTTGTTGTACATCTCTTCGATGTTTGCGACTAAAAGCTCATGCACTGACTGCTTCATGATGTTAAGGCAACATTCCAAGATCAAGACATTGATCGTTTCGATCGCAATATATCGTTATGACACAAGTTTAATGTAATTCCAACAACAATATTAAAGTGACATAATATTTAGGCAAAATACACTTGTATAGCCAAAATTTTCACGTTTGTGCCAATAATAGCCAAATTTGGAGAAATACTACTTATAGTCACTTCCGTCCAATATTTTAACGGTGTTATCTAACAGAGTGACTAGACTAACAGCAACCATTGACGTGGCATATTTTATTCAAAAATAATGACAGGTGGAAAGTCATTAAAATTTTTCCTTTAATTTTAATTAAATTAAATAAAAAATATACAAAAACAATAATCTCATTCTTCACCACCGCCGTTTCTCCTTCCCATCTTCGAAATCGCCGCCGTTGTTGTATTGTTCTCTCCGATTTCCTCATCTCCATCAACGAACAACAATACAAGATTACCTACAAACAAAACCATTTCTTTTCTTCTTCTCTCATCTTTATCGTCTTCTTTCTCTCTTCAATTCCGTCATCCCCTGGAGTTGGTTGATTGGGCTCTATCCCCAATCCCCCAAAAATATATAGGCTGCTTCCGGGTTGCTCAAGAATCCCTAACCCGGCCGGCGATAGACAATACATCAGCAGGGAGAGCAATCGCTCCCCACTGTCGCGCCGTCGTCGAGCAGTAGCAGAGGGCAAGGCTCGGGCGATGATTGTTGGGGCAAAATCAACGATCTGATGGGATGAAGTTGGAGCGGAGGGCTGGCAGAGATCTGGGTTCGATCGAGCTTTGTCGGTAGAGAGAGATAGCCCTGTTCACTTGGAAGCGTCGCCTCCTCTCGCCGACACCGTCCTCTTCCGGGATTTATGTCACAGCCAGATCCATCTCAATCGTGGTGTGACGGCTAGGATTTGGGAATAAACAGGGGTTGAACAAAACCACCAGATTTTGGAGACTTTCTCGATGGTGCAGAGGTCTAGAGTTTGGGAGATGAGTTCCTCGATTCGCTGACTCTCGTCCTCCGCCACTAGTACTCGGCGACGATGAGCATGGCAGGGTCAAAGGCGATGTAGATGAGCGGTGGGGTTTCTCTGGGGTGATTGAGGTGAGATTTTGGCGGCCAGATTGACAGATCTTGGAGGCGGATCCGGGCTCCGACGAGGTGACAGAGTGGCTAGGCAAGAATCGCCAAATCGAAAGAAGAAGGGGAAGAAGAAGAGGAGGTGCGGCGGTGAGGAAGTTCCAACGCCAATGAGGAGAGAGAAATGGGAAGTGAGGTGGGGAAGGGAAGGGAAGGTCCAAAAATTAAGTTATTAATTTTATTATTTATTTTTATTAATTAATTTATGATGTATGTAATGATGATGTGTCACTTTTTGCTTATTTGGCGCTGATGTGTGTGCTGAGTAGGAGCCTAGTCAGCGAACCGTCAAAGAACTTGACGGTGTTATTAACATCGTTAAAGTATTAAACGGAAATGGCTATATTTGTCCTACAACAACTTTAAAAGCTGGCTATAAGTGGTATTTCTCTAAATTTGGCTATTATTGGCACAAACGTGAAAGTTTTGGCTATACAAGTGTATTTTGCCTAATATCTATTTTACCAACTATGAGTATTATACTATAACTATACAAACACAACTTGGTGGTTGGTAAGCCAATCAAATCTCTATCCTCTCTGCCTGCAGGCACAACCCAAGCTGCAAACATTTTCAAAAAATTTATCCGACTGATTGCTGACTTTGCTCCACAGAAATTACTGGTCCTTTCCTTTGCCCTGCGATCACCTCACCTTCTCTTGCCTGCAAATCTTCTGTTGGATGGGATGGTGGCTCGATCTGCCCTGATTCGATCAATTGGGTAACATCGGAAGTGAAAATGACTCATGCTAGCTGTTCATCAAAGTGCCCTAGATGGATAACAAATTAGCATGTTTTGTTGTGGCATTCTAAGAGGAATCCTTTTTTGAGTTTTATTACTCCTTTTTTTTTTATAACTATGAGATGGATTATAATTCAGATTTAATAGTTTCAAATCATTATATATATATTTTTTTATAATGGCGAATTCATTGAAAATCAAGAGTTTGAAAATGTACAACAACAAAAAAAACAGTAAAAACAGGCCCTCCACCGAGGTGATAGATGAGCATATGACAAAAGTCAGAGAGAGAAATCGAGCATAAACAGAAAAAAAAAATGCAATTAAAGAGTCCATTAATAAGCTCTTACCAAAAGAATGAAAGATGTGGGAGCCCATAAGGGCTTATTTCCCTGTTCGAAGGTAACTACCACTCCACTGTTTCCTTTTTGTAGCAATTGTTGGCCCAAAAAAATGCAATTAAATGGCCCAATATCCATAAGCGGGCCCATAAAATTAAGGAACCCTTTGACCTCTATCTCTCCTCTCGCCGCTTCTGTGTTTCTTCTTCCTCTTTCACCTTTCATGACAAGACAGTTGCAGAGGAACGGCGAGTGGAGGAGCTCCGACGGCGGGTGCGGCACAGAGATCGATAAGGTGGATAAAGATTGGTGCCGCTTCAACCGCTGTGACAGTGGCGATTCCTTGACTTTCTTCATTGATGGACTAAGGCATGAACTTGTAGCTGAAGACGACAAGCCGATGCAAGGGATGGCAAGAGCACCGCTCTGATCATGACGAGGACTCTACTGGTCCAGCAAGACAGGACTTTCAATGACGCTAGTCGCAAAGAAATTAACCCACCGGTGGAGAATGAAACGGGGTGGATTGCCGGTGATGGAGGCAAGATCCGCCGCCTGTTGCTGCACTGGTGGATTGATCGGATTTGAGGCTAGGATGACTGCAGCTGAAGTTCAGGCTGCTCCTTGACTGAAGAAACACACTTGAGAAGCCGGAGATTAGCGGCTTCGGTGGGAGAAACAACCACGAATGATTGGCGATTGATGACCCACGGCGGAATGGACTTCGCCTAGGTCGACTATGCTCAGCGGAATAACATCGCTGATGAACAAAACAAGCCAGCGGGATGAACATCGCTGATGTGCAGAAGACTATCTAGCTGGATCTACACCTCTGATACCATGTAGAATTTGATGATACGGAATTGAAATAACACTGGAACACGAGATTTTACGTGGTATCCTCAATCGATTGATCGAGACTAATCCACGGTGAGCTCGAAAGAGCTCACCGCTG